TCTGACCGTCTGATTCTGCCACGTGTTTCTGCTTCTAACCCCCTCCTGCTAATCTCTCTCTCTTGCTCCATCCTTCTCCCTCCCCCTTCCATCCGTCCTCTCTTCTTCTCCTTTAGGGGCTGCGCTAAACACGCGTGGCAGGTAAGGAAGATATGCCCGCAAGGGGGTGCGAACGAAAACGAAGTGGGAAAAGCGTGAACTCTGATTTCAGAATAATATTTGTTGTTGGTCCCCCCATCCGGGAATCATTGTGTTTTTTAGCTGACGTGCCCCTCTCGTGGCTCGCACCTCTTTCTTTTTCTTTTCCTGAATGTATCTATACACGCACACCTATTTAATACATATCTACACATATTTACATATATACAATCAAAGGACACGTGGTGCCACCAAACTGTGTTGTTGGCCCCAACAGCAACAACACCAAACACAACCACAACCACAAACACAACAAACACAACAACAAAAACAACGACATCAACAGCAACACCAACAACAATCATTTTAAGACCGTTCGCTATTACTGGCGCGCGTGTCGTGCATTCTGTATACCCCAACCCTGGATACCCGCCCACTTCGTCTTCGATCGCACCCCCTTTCGGGGGGAATATCTTCCATGTCGACCACTGACTGAAGTGCGAGGAACTCTCGAGCGAGAGAACCGTTCCTGAGTTCGGGGGCCTCTCTGGCCAGGCCATGGGCTCTCATATTCCATAAACATCGAACGCGAACCCTTGTCGCCGTGTCTGGGCCGCTACCGACTTGCCTGAATTACGAACGAATTTCGAGCGAGAGCGCCACCCTTGAGTTCAGGGGCCTCTCTGGCAAGGGCCTCTGCGAATACATCTTGAGGAAGTATCGAACGAGAACCCTTGTCGTCGTAGTTGGGGCTCCACCAATTTGAAAGAATCGCGCGAAAGTCTCGGGCGAAAACGCCGTTCCTGAGTTCAGGGACCTTCGTGGCCAGGGGCTCTCGGAGTAATTCGTAAGAAAGTATCGACCAGGAACCCTTGTCGTCGTGGCTTGGCCTCCGTGAACTTGATTCAATTGCAAGGGAGTCTCGAACGAGAGCGCCAGTCCTAAGTTCGGGAGCCTCTCTGGCCAGGGCGTCTCGGGGTTAAGTGTGAGGAAGTATCGAGCGGGAGACGTTGTCGTCGTAGCCGGGCCTCCAAGGGACCACTTGTACTCAAGCCCACGCTCGAGCGGGAGCATCGCTTTCAAACAAAAATGTAGCTGGCGTCGAGGCGAGAGCGCGCGGAGCCGTTTCCAGAAATCAGCAATCATTACTCTTTAGAAAAATAGCATTCAACAACGGCTCCCGCCTGATACTTCTTTGCAATGTATTGAAATACCGCGTTTCCGCTAGAGACTTACGTGACATTTACACAGGGATCGCGATCTCGCTTGGGACACCCTCGTAATTTATTGAGACGCCGCGCCTCGACACTTAGGAATCACGCTCTCGCTGTGGACTTCTGCACGATCTACTTGGGAATCGCGCCCTCGCTTTAGAATTTCTGACGGTCAATGTAGGACTCACGCTTCAACGACCCGCCCGCTCGACCTGCCTGTCAGGGTCTCCCGCCCAAGCCCCGTGTTGGGGCTCGCAGTCTCCCCTCGTTGCCCTTCGCCTGCCTTCGATGCCCCTCGCTGCTCTTCGTGGCCCCGCTGTCGCCCTTCGTGGCCGCCTGCTGCCCTTAATGGCCACGTTGCTGCCCTCATTGGCCCCGTCGCTGTCTTTGTTGTGGCCACATATGCGTATGGCCTTTGTGACCCCCGCTCGCCCGCGCCCTTCGTGGCCCCATTGCCGCCCTTCGTGGCCCCACTGTCGCCCTTTATGGCCCCGCTGCTGCCCTTCGTGGCCCCATTGCTGCCCCCAGTGGCCCCATCGCTGCCCTTTGTGGACCAATATGCGTATGTCCTTCGTGGCACCCGCTCGCCCGCGCCCTTCGTGGCTCCCTTGCTGCCCTCGTTGCTGCCCTCCGTGGTCCCTCATACGTACGCCCTTCGCAGCCCCCGCTCGCCTGGCCCCGTCGCTGCCGTTCGTGGCCCCGTCGCTGCCCTCAGTGGCCTCGTTGTTGCCCTGCGTGGCCCCGACAGCGTATTCCCCTTGTGGCCCCCGCTCGTCCGCGCTCTTCGTGCCTCCTTCGCTGCCGTTCGTGGCCCCGCTGTCGCCCTTCATGGCCTCCTCGCTGCCCTCAGTGGCCCCGTTGCTGGCCTCAATGTCCTGGTTGTTACCTTGTGTGGCCCCATCTACGTATGCCCTTTGTAACCCTTCTCGCCCGCGCCCGTCGTGGCCCTTTCGCTGCCATTCGTGGCCCCGCTGTCGCCCTTCGTGGCCCCCCCTCGCTGACCTTCGTGGCCTCGTTGCTGCCCTCAGTGGCCCCCGCTGTTCCCTCCGTTGCCAACTTGCTCCAGCTGGCCCCTTCGCTTCCCTTGTGGGCCCAGCGCGGCGCCTGCGCCGCCGTTGCCCGTCGTGGCCCCGCTGCTGCCCTGCGTGGCCTTACTTTTGCCCTGAGTGGCTCCTGCTCCCTCCTGCTCTCTGTGGCCTCCTTCGCTGACCTTCGTTTTTTTCATTCGCGGAGGTCGCTCGTCCCACTTTTAGGGGCTGCGCTAGCTACACGTGGCAGGTAAGAGAGATATACCCTCAAAGAGGGTACGATCGACGACGAAGAGGGCGGGTACCGAGGGCTTGGGATTTACGTGTTGACTGGCACGATGACAGGTCAGAGCGAACAGTCTTTCCATGATTGTTGCTGTTGTTGCCGTCGCCGTCGCTGCTGTGATTGTGGTTGTGGTTGTTTTCGTTGTTGTTGTTGCTGCTGTTGTTGTTGTGGTTGTTGTTGTTGTTGTGGTTATTGCTGTTGTTGCTGTTGTTATTGTTGAACTCTCATTTCTGAAGAATAATTATTGTTGATCCCCCCTGTCCGGTGCCCATTGGTTTTTTCAATTGAAGTGCTTCCTCCAGGGCTCGCACCCTGTTTTTTGACAGGGAAAGCCTTGCGGATCAGATTGCGTTGTTGGGCCCGGAGCTCCCGCTTGAGACTTGCTCACAATTTACTCAGGACCCCCGCCCCCGCCTGAGACTTCCTCAAAATTTACTCCGGAAGGGCGCTCCCGCTTCAGACTTTCTCACGTTTTACTTAGAAACGGCGCTCCCGCTTGAGACTTCCTTAATCAGGACCCTTGCTCCCGCCCGAGACTTCCTCATAATTTACTCAGGAATGGCGCTCTCGCTAGGACTTCCTCGCAATTTATTGCAGCATCGCGTTCTCGACGCTCAGGAACCACGCTCGCGCCAAGGACGCCCTTGCAATTTACTTAGGAATCGCGCTCTCGCTTAATACTTCCTCGCGATTTACGCAAAAATCCCGTTTGAATGTCCCGCCCGCCCGACCCGCCCGTCAGGGTCCGCCCGCCCGACCGGCGCTCCCGCCTGAGACGTCCGACAATGTACTCGGGACCCCCGCCTCGCCCAACTCTTCCTTGAGGAATACGCCCTCGCCTAGGACTTCCTCGAACGTTCACACTCTTACCCTCCTGCCCCTTCCTCCCCATCCAACCTCCCTCCTCCCTCCCCTCTCCCTCATATCCACCCTCCTCCTCCCTCTTCCTCTCTCCCCTCACCCTCCTCCCATAACCCTCCTCCCTCCTCTCTTCGCCCTCCCCTCTCCAGCCTCCTCCTTCCTCCCTCCTCTGTCTCTCTATCTCCAATCGTCCCCCCCCCCCTCCTCGCCCCCTCTCTCCTGGCGTGTTCCCCTTTAGCCTCGTCCCTCCCCCTCCCTTCCTCCCACTCTCCCTCGTTCTCCCCCTTCCTCTTCTTGCAGGGCCCGCGCTAATTCCAATGGTGGGCAAAGAGATGCGTGCCCCATCCTCCGAATAATTCCCCGCCCGTTCACGCCCGCTTGTCTAAGCCCGCCCGCCCCCGCAAAAAGAAAGAATCCCCCCAGAAGGGGGTGCGCTCGAAGACGAAGGGGGCGGGTATCGAGGGTGTGGGTATACACGTTGCATGGCACGCGGGCAAGTAAGAGCGAACAGTCGTAAAATGATTGTTGTTGTTGTTGTTGTTGTTGTTGTTGTTGTTATTGCTGTTGAGCTCTCACATCTGACCATAAGTATGGTTTATCCCCCCTCTGGCGCACATGTTTTTTTTCCCAATTGCCGACCTGCCCGTCAAGGTCTACCCGCCCGATCGGCCCGTCTGGTTCTGCCACGTGTTTGTTGCTCCCAGTCCCCATCCTGCTGCTCTCTCTCTCGTGCTCCATCCTCCTCCCTCCCCCTTGTCCCTCCCTTCCTTCCATCCGTACTTTCTTCCCCTGCCTTAGGGACTGCGCGAAATACACGTTGCAGCTCATAATATATATATATATATATATATATATGTATATATATATATATGTCTAATGGGGGTACGGTCGAAGACGAAGAGGGCGGGTATCGAGGGTTTGGGGTATAAGTGTTGAATGGCTTGCGCACAGAGGAGAGCGAACAGTCTTAAACTGATTACTGTTGTTGCCGTTGTTGTTGTTGCTGTTATTATCGTTGTTGTTGCTGCTGCTGCTGCTGCTGTCGTTGTCGTTGTCCCTGTCGTTGCTGTTGCTATTGCTGTTGTTGCTGTGGTTGTTGCTGCTGTTGCTGCTGTTGTTTTGTTCTGTCATCGACAGACTTCTGAGGGTCCCTAGGGGCTCGACACGGGCCTCGGGCGGACGGGAATGGCGAGACGCCGCCGTCGAACCTCCCCCGGGAGCCGACGCCCGGGCAAGAACTGCGGCATCGTGGAAAGTCACACCCCGCGCCCTCGACCCCGTCTTCCTGCGGCATTCCTCGAGGCGGATCCGTCTGTGAGGGCCCCGGGGCCCGAGGCTGGGCGCGAACACGCCTGGCGCAGGAAAAAACTGCGACGCTGGCTCGCTCGCTCGCTCGACGACCTGTCGGAATGGACGAGCCATCGATGGCCTCAGGGTCGAGCCTCGATTGATCGATGGATCAGAGGGCAGAGCCTCGATGGGCCGGTCGACGGCCTCCAGGCTCTGCAGGCTCCCCTCGAGGCTCGCGCTCGTGCGCTCGCTGCCACCGGGGAGGGCTTGGCCCGGCTCGCTGAGGCGCTGCAGCTGGGCCAGCTGCTGGCTCGCCACCATGGCGGGGAAGTTCCTGATGCTTGGGGGTGGAGGAGGAGGAGGAGGAGGAGGAGGAGGAGGAGGAGGAGGAGGAGGGAAAGGAGGAGGAGGGAAAGAGGAGGAGGAAAAGGAAGAGGAGGAGGAGGAGGAGGAGGAGGAGGAGGAGGAGGAGGAGGGAAAGAAGGAGGAGGAGGAGGAGGAGGAGGAGGAGGAGGAGGAGGAGGAGGGCACGAAGCTCGGCGGGCAGGTCGATCTGCGGCCTCGCCTATGCTTGCATGCGGTGCAGAGCGGCCAGTCTCACTCCAGACCGATGATCCGCTCCGGAATCCAGGCCCACGTCCACGCGGTGCTTCTGGACGTGGTAGCACTGGCACATGAGGCCGACCGCGTAGATGCAGTCCGTGATCGGTCTCCCTGCATGGTACTGCGCGTCGCCGAACCCGAGGAGCTCCACGCCGTGGCCCAGGGAGTCCGCGCCAGCGTCGCCCGCGGTCATCGCCCTGAGGATCGGGCAGACGATGTAGTGCTCGAGCGCGTCCTCCTCGTCGCAGCCGAACAGGCATGGCCGCGCATCGATGACGGCACTCATGCGGCGTGATGTCGTCCAGCCGTTGAACGCGGTGCGGATCCACGACCGCATCCATGCAGGGCGGACCTCCGACAGCTTGTCACGCAGCGAAGGCCACCTCTCGCGCAGCTCGGGAAGCGAGCACACGACTCCCCACCTGCGCAGCCGACGGTGGATGGTGGCAACCAGGTCCTCGGGGTACAGCGAGCCTCGGAGCGAGATGGCGGCCGTGGCCTGGCGCTTGGGCTTCCTGTTGGGGATGGCCGCTGCCGCCGCCTCCGTCTCCTGGGTCATCGCCGCCTTCGCAATCTTGATGTACATGCTCGGAATCGGGACCGAGAGCACATCGAGCGTCGGTCTGGGGATGTCCAACTGGCCGTAGGTGTCCGTGATGAGGGCGAAGTTCTGTACGATCGCCCTCCGCGTCTGCCACCGCGGCGGCGACCAGTTGCCCTTGATCGCGTCGACCAGTGGGGCGTGCTCCACCGCGGCTTCATGAAGGTGGTGAAGGTGAGGTTCCCATCCGCGTACCGTGTTCTCCGCCGTGCGCAGCATCGCCGCGAGTGTGTGCGGGAAGAGGCCCGTCGGCGACGGGGAGCCGCACCACGCGCTCATCGACAGGATGTCGGCCTTGCGCATGGACGAGGGCGGCAGCCGCAGCAGGCGGTGCAGGGAGGTGAACTCGACCTTCCAGATGGCTGGCACAATGAAGTAGAACTGCGCGGGGTACGACAGGCACGGCAGCGCGTTGATGTTGTACGCGCGGGCCGCAAGGCTGGTGGCCATGCCAGTGCGCGCCAGCTCCCAGCAGCGGGTCCACCATTTCCCCGCGGCAGCCTTCCAGATGCCGAAGTCCGTGACGCCTGGTCCCAGGTATGTCCCCAGGTACTTGGCCGTGGAGTCGACGCGGAAGCCCGACCAGCGGGGGACCTCCTCAGCGAGGAAAGACTTAACGTCCTGCAGGGTGTCCTCCGAGAGCTCCTCCCACAGCGGAACCAGCACGCACTTGTGCAGCGCCAGCTGCAGGTTGAAGGCAAACTCTATGGAGACGAAGGTGTAGTCGATGCTAGGGAGGGCGACAGCGTTCTTGATCAACATCCCGAGGTCGTCGGCGCAAGCCGTGAGGATCCCATGCTCTGCGATCGCAACCAGCAGCGCGCGGATGGGCGCGTCCATGGCCAAGCACCAGACCGTGCCAGAGAGCGGGCATCCTTGCATGATGCCGCACAGGAGCGCGAACAGCGGCTCGAACTCCGCGCTGGTGCCCTCGGCGCGGAAGGAGCTGAATGCGAGGCAGTTGCTGTAGAGCGCCGCGACCACGTTGCAGAAGCCCAGCGGGACCCCGTAGCCGGGAGGACCTTCTCGATGACTTCCCTGAAGAGCGAGGGGAAGGCCTGACGGAAGTCGAACGACAGGAACATGGGGCGGCGGGCCGCCGCGTCAGGAAGAAGACCCTCCCGACGGCATTCCGCGTCCAGGTACGGGATGTGGTCGACGAAGCGCCGACCAGCAGTGAAGCCCTTCTGCTCGGGTGAGGTAGATGATGTGGCGATGGGCTGGAGCCCGCGATCTGCGCAGGCCGCTATCAGCTTGGCGTCGCAGTTCTTCAGAGAGAGGGTGCGCACCGTGGAGGCCGTGCGCGTGCAGGAGTCGGGGACGTCGTCCGCCTCCGTGCCCTTCGGTACGCAGATGAAGATCGACCAGTTGAGGTCGAGCGGGGCCACGCCGTCGTTGAAGAGGACTTCCATGAGACCCTGGAGATGCTGCAAGGCTCCAGGGCTGCGGCGCCACGCTGCGTACGACAGCTGGTCTGGACCCGCAGCGCTCGGCGGGGCCCTTCTGGCCGCGCGTTCCAAGTCTTGTAGAGCTGGTTGAGGTAGTTCCACCGCGTGCTTCAGTGGCGCGTGCTTGTCCAGGAACGCGTCCAAGGCCTTCAGCTGTTCGGAGTTCGGCACCTTCGCGAAGATCTCGCCCCAGTAGTTCGCTACGGTCGCCTTCATGCCCGCGGGGTCGGAGACCACGTGCTGAGCCACCTTCGAGTCCTTGGCGGCACACGGTGCGGAGTCCACGCGCAGGCCCGAGAGGATCATACGTCGCCGCCACGGGACCCAGAGCTGCGCATGCCTGGCGGCCTTGCGCTCAACCTTCCGCCAGGCTGCGCTGTCGCGCACGTTGGCCGTCCGAGCTGCTGCCTCCGCCGCCTGCCTGCGCAAGGAGTGCACCCGCTCGGCGGCGGCGTCGAAGTTGGTGGCGAAGCTGTGGGTGTCCACGAGGCGCACGGTGCCGTCGGTAACGTGGAGGTGGGCGGCCAGCGCAGGGCAGGACTCGAGAAGCCTGCCTGCCAGTACAGCGTCCTGTCGCCAGACCGCTCGCGCCGCCGACTTGAAGCCCATGTACGAGGTCTCGACCATGTAGTCCTTGACGTGTAGGGAGAAGTTGGTCCGCAGCTGGTCATCACGAACGCGTCGCGCTGCGAGTTTCATGCGCTGCTTCGCTGCTCTCCAGCGGCCTTCCGCCGTTTCACCCGCCAAGGGGCAGTGGTCCAGCATGAGCGTGTAGGTCTCAGGGTACTTCCTGTGGTTGAAGAGGTGCGTCGGGACTGGCTGCTCATCTCGTGGTACATGGCGTGCGGCAGTGATCTGCAGGACGAGGGGCGCGTGGTCGCTGATGCCCTCCTCGGAAAGCTCCATCGCGTCCCTCGCAGTGGTGAGGATCGTCGAGACCGAGAGCATGGCGTGCGCGTCGATGCCCAAGAAGATGCGGTCGATCGTGGACAGCTGCTTGCTGGACTTGTCGTAGTGGGTCGGCCACTGAGACTCCACCTCCAGAGCTGCAGCGAATAGACGGCGCCACGCAGGTTGCCGAAGTTGGTAACGGTGATCAGGTCGAAGGCGCCAAGCTGTGGTGTCTGTAGGTGCTCGTTGACTGACTGGTGGGCGGTCAGCTATGTTGAAGTCACCGACGCCCAGGAAGATGCGGTGTAACGAGTCGCGGCGCGCCCACGCCAGGCCACTGGACCAGGTGCGCTGCACTGCGGCGAACTCGTGCGGCTTGAGGTCGTAGTTGTGGACGTTGAAGATCTGCATGCTGTACTTGCCCGTGCGGTCGGTGATCGTGAGGAGCGCCGCGCGGCCGGCCGCCACTATGTCGAAGCGGTAGGCCGGTAGAGCTGATGTGGAGCTTCGCGTACTTGACCAGGTGTTGTTCGGTTGTGACGTGGATGTCGTGGGAGAACGTCGCGTACTTGACCAGGTGTCGGGAAAACTTGCTGTCGTAGGTGAAGAGGAGGTTCGCGTACTTGACCAGGTGTCTTGAGTCGGCGTAGATGAGGAAAGCCGCGAACTGGTCCAGGTGTCTTGACTGTGATGCGGCAGTTTTCCACTAATCATCGCGGGAAGACAGTGGCCACAAAATGGCGTAGTAGGGGGCGAGGACCGCACAGGAGGTCTTCCACGTCTCGCCTCACTCCCTTCTCCCAGAGATTCGGCTCTGGGTCCATCCACCCTTGAAACTTCGTCGGCGTATCGAGGGACGAGAAAGGCGACTCCGCCCACGGCGGCGGAAGAGCCAGGCGAGAGGAAGCTCAAGTACTTCTGCGGCTGCGACTGGAGGAAAATCCTGAGGGCGTCCTCGGAGCCGTGGACCTCCTGCGCGGCGATGATGGCGTTGACCTTCATGTAGGTGGCGAGCAGTGCCAACTTGCGTCTGCGCAGCCTCGCGTCCGAGTGAAGCAGGCCACGGGCGTTCCACACGACCAGGTGAAGTCCACGAAAGCCATGCCGTGCTCCAGGAGGTCGCCACGGCGCCCACAGTGGGCTGCTAAATCCACTCGGTGCTGTCCTCCATGGAGAAAGCCTTCTTGAACTGCGTGTTGATGGACTCCCTGTCGATGTGCAGCCTGGCGACCATGTCTGGGTTCCACCTGATGATGGTGTCGGTGTTGCGGGATTCTCCCATCTCGAGCTTGGCCACCTTGACGCCCTGGGAGGTGACGATACCACGGGCCCGCTGAGCACTGAAAGACTGATCAGGAAGAGCTTCTGCCAGCAAGAACGAGAGCTTCCTCGACTGGATCTCCATTCGTACTTGCTGCGGTGACTTGTCAGGCGAGAGGTACAGCGGGACGACGCCTCCGCCGGCGCTCTGCGAGCTGAAGGAGCGCCGCCCGTTCCTGCCAGCTGGGTCACGTAGATGCCGTGCGAGAGCTTGGGCCCGAGGGAGAGCGACTCCGTCGCCGCCCTGCACCATGACGTTGAAGCGCTTGGCGGGGACCGCGGGGTCGATGCGGACCATGTCGTTAGTGAGGCCAGCCGCTCGAATCCACTCCTCCAATCCTTGAAGAGCTTGGGCAGGTCCGACCAACTGCGGCGCCCCAATCGAGAAGATCCGCGGGTTGGGTTGACGAGACCACGCCTCCAGCTCCTGAAAGTCCATGATGGGCAGCTCCTTCTCGGCGAGGGCCAGGGCCTTGTTGATGTCCCCGAGCTGCTTGCGCATGGCGGCCTGCTCCGACTACAGCGCGTCTGCGCGCTGTCCGATGGAGGCGATGTCGCGAGTCTGCACAGCGAGGGACCTGTTGACCGCCTCCTGCTGGGTCTGGAACATGCGCACCAGCTGCGTCTGGCAGGAGGAGGTCTCGGCGATGGCATCGGTGGCCTGGCGTATGCAGCTCTGCAGCATGGCCTGCACGTCGATACCGCCAGCGTCCACAGGAGTGGCTATCCCACCGACAGGAGTGCCAGCGGCAGGTAGTTCAGGGTGTCCAGCAGCGGGGGCGGCGCGATCATGCCAAGGGTCCCTGCCAGGGCGTTGCCACGGGTCAGGTGGAGCATGTTGAGGTCCAGCTTGTTGAGGTCCAGCGGGCGCTTGTTCCACTTGCATGGCCTGGCGCTCCTGCGTGGGGAAGGTGGCCGCCGCCTCCATAGCAGCCACGAGCTCGTCCTGCGCGGCGCGATCGAGTCCTCCGAGACCTGGGCGCTCACGGTCGCTGGCCTGCGATCCCGAGGCGCCCGCCTCGCCGTCGGAGCGCGGGCGGCCACGGCGAGCCCGTCGCCGCGCTGGGGCACGCTCGTTCGTGCTGCGGGAGGCCGAGCGCAAGTCCTCGGCTGGAGGCTGCTCCTTGCCCTTGTCGCCGCGCCTCCGACCGTCAGCAGCACCAGGGCCACGATGGCCGCCGCCAGCACGGCCCGTCTTGCGCCGCTCCTCGTCGGCCGCCATGCACTGCTGGAGAAAGCCCTCGCGGGCGCAAAACTGTGGGTCCTCGCGGACCAGGCTTTGGCGGCAGCTCGCCCTGGTTGTGGCTGCAAAGAAGTCCCCACTCCTGGCCGCGGCACAGCGGTATCCATTTGGACACCGCTGCGCACCAGGACATCTTGAGCCAAAATGGCTACGGAGGAGGAGGAGGAGGAGGAGGAGGAGGAGGAGGAGCAGGAGCAGGAGCAGGAGCAGGAGGAGGAGTGAGAGTTCGGGCGCAACAGAACGCAAGGTGTCATGAGGCAGGGGCAGCGGGCCAGGGGCCGCCCGCCTTCCTCTCTGCGGCCCATTTGGGCTCAAGTTTTTTCTTGGGCCTTCAATGGTCCAGGAGCCCGGCGGTCCCCTGGGGGCGGCTCGAAAGGAGCCACACAGCCTGGCGCCGCAATTCGCTGGGCGCCGCGGGCCCGCGGCCAGGTAAGGCGGCGGCGGGCCCAGAGGCGGAGCGGAGCGAGAGACCCAAATCTGCGGGTCCGGCTCGGCGAGTACGCGTACGCGGGCTACTCGGACCATCAGGAAGTCCTGACTGGGCTGGACGTAGCCGCCAAGGCGAGTGGTGGTGCCGTGGCACACTTCGCTCAGGCAGACGGGGTGGTCTCGTGGTTCAAGGCGAGCAAAACGGACCAGGGCGGGAAAAAAGATCTGCCCAGTGTGGGCAGCCGAGCAGTATCAGAGGCATTTCCCGACGAGGATGGGAGGAAGAAAGGATGCACATCTCCCGCTGGCGAGGTGTGCGGACGGCCGCCCTGTCGCCAGACAGAGGATTCAGGAGGAGCTGCATAGAAGGGCACCTAGCGTCTGGATATGAGGATCCACGGCCTTGATAGGAGGATCCATAGTTCGGGTTCCACTCGTTCTGGATAGGAGGAGCCACGGCCTTGTACCAGCACTACGGGGACACCGAGTTGGTGAAAAGGTGGGCAGGTTGAACAGCGCCGCATTCCACCGGTACTTGTGGGCGGCTAATGAGACGGCACGAGAAATTCCTACGGCGATGGCCTCCTCGGTGTGTACCCGTCACATGAGGTACGACACGGCGAAGGAGAGGGCCCGAAAGAGACGCAAGCCCAGGTCGGACCTGGCAGTAGGCTGAGAGCTCCGAGGAGGAAAAGGCCTGAGCGCCAGGCCTGGAGCAGCCGAGGGTGACTAAGAAGGGCCGCGGCGCCCAGACCGGCGGAGACCGCGAGAGAAGGCGCGGGCCATTTTGGTAGAAGGCCGAGGTGCGGACCCGAGAGGAGGTGGCGGGCATCTCCGCTCCGGGCCGAAGCAGTGAGGCGCGCCGTGCTGACCAGGCCCGCACAAGAATGGGAGGTTTCCGCCCGCCTGCGGCGGTGGCCCCGTGGCTCGGATCCCCCCCCCCAGTGCTAAAGGCCCCCCTCCGCTTGCGGCGGCGGTTCCCGGCGAGAGATTGCAGCGAGTGGCGTCCTAGGCGGACCGTCAGGAGACCTCGCCATCCCTGGGGTGCTGCTTCGAGAGCGGCAGCCGTAGGCAGTGCAAGGAGTGGGCGAGGCGGCGTGGCACACAGCGCAAGAGGAGGCAGGCCACGTGGAGAGAGTGGGGGCGGCACCCGCCGCTGCGGGGTGACTCACCCAGGAGGCGAGTGAGTAGGATGAGGTGGGCCGCGAGTCGCCATGGCGACACAAGGGCCCGCCCTGTTAGGGGGCGGGCTCGACGTTCCGCTGTGCAGCATCTGCCAAAAGGTGCTGCCACCGCGTCGCCGTCGCATCTTTGTCTTTGCGATTCTAGTTACCCTTGTCGGGGCTCTCCGCTGGCCCCAGCTCCCTTGAAACGTGAGAGGTCGGGCGCAGAAAGAAACGTAAAATTTCACGTGGCAGGGGGAGCGGGCCGGGGAATGCACGCCTTCTCTCTCTCTCCGTTCTCCTCTTCCCTCTCTGCGGCCCATTTGGGCTCAAATTTTTCTCTGGGCCTTACCCTCCCGCTGCCTCCCATTCCAGATGAACCCGCACAGCGGCTATGTTGTCGCCGTCGCCTGCCCGTTGCCGCCTCGTCGCCGCCCGTCGTCTGGGCCTGCGGGCTGGTCTGGCAGCTATGTTGTCGCCGTCGCCTCCCCGTCGCCGCTTCGTCGCCGCCCGTCCTCTGGGCCTGCATTGCTTCGCATTGCTTTGCATTGCTATGGCGTGCTTTGCATTGCATTGAATTGCATTGTTTGCATTGCTTTACACTGATATGCCGTGCAATTGCATTACTTTGCGTTACTTCGCATTTCTTTGCATTGCAGTTCATCGGTTTGCATCGCTTTGCATTGCTTGCATGTGCATCTCATCCCATTGCAATTGCACTGCTTTGCAATCGCAATGCGTTGCATTTCTTTGTTTTGCTTTGCATTGTGATGCTGTGCTTAGAATTGCTTGGCATTGCCTTGCATGGTTTGGCACCACATAAATTGCAGCACATAGACTGCACCTCATATATTGCACAGCATGAATTGCGCAGAGCATGGATTGCACAAGGTAGATGGCTCCATATAGAGTGCACAGCACGGGTTGGCACAGCATATATTGCACCGCATATATAGCACAACATGGATTGCGCGGCATAGGCTGCATAACATATATGGCACCATATATATACATATATATATATATATGTATATATATATATATTGCACCACTTCGTTGCGCCACATAGATCGCGCCACATATATTGCACAAACTCGATTGCACAACATAGATTGCACCACATAAGTTGCAAGAAACACACTGTTTGGGTTCCACGCTGGTTAAACATGTTTTTGTTTTATATGTGTCCGGGGACCTGGATCTTAAACCATACGCAACCGACGGTTTTCCCACATTCTAGGTACTGTTTCTTGTTTTCTCTGGACACACCCGTGCAGGGACGCCACCCTCTCCGCCTCCTCCTCTCTTCACCATCATCATCACCATCACCATCACCATCACCATCACCATCACCATCACCATCATCATCATCATCATCATCATCATCATCATCATCATCATCATCATCATCACCATCACACGCAGCAACATCACCATCACCACGCACACAATCACCATCATCACCATCACCATCATCATCATCACCATTATCATCATCACCAGGTCATCATCATTGTCGTCGTCGTCGTCGTCATCGCTAGCATCATCATCATCATCATCATCATTTTCACCATCACCGTCATCATCATCAGCATCAGCAACATCATCATCATCATCATCATCATCATCATCATCATCATCATCATCATCATCATCAACATCGCATACACACACTCACTCAATCACTCACACACTCATACGGAGGAAGTCTCGAGCGGGAGCTTCATCTGTGAGTCAATTGCGAAGATTTCTCAATGAACCCCCTCCCTATGGGGCTCCCAGATCATGTTGGTAATCAGAGGCGGCCCTCGGCAAACCCTGTAACAAGCACACATTGTGTGACACCTGGGAGCCTGAATCCAGGAAGTCTCGAGCGGGAGCCTCGTCTGTGAGTGAATTGCGAGGAAGTCTCGAGCGGGAGCCCCTCCTCTACGGGGCCCGCAGATCATGTTGGTAAGCAGAGGCGGCCCTCGGCAAAACCCTTTAACAAGGACACGATGTGTAACACGTGTAACACCTGGGAGCCTGAACCCAGGAAGTCTCGAACGGGAGCCTTGTTTGTGAGTGTGTTGCGATGGAGTCTCGAGCGGGAGCCTCCTCCCGATGGGGTCTCTGCCTCACGTTGGTCACACGAAGCCGAAGCCAGAACACCACGCAAAAACAGATGTTTGGTGACACCTGGGAGCCTGCATCGCGAGGAAGTCTCGAGCTGGAGCCCCGTCTGTGAATGAATCGCGAAGGTGCCTCGAGCGGGAGCACCCTTCCTGTGGGGCCCGCAGATCATGTTGGCAATCCGAAGTAGCCGTCGGGCACCGTGCAGAAGCACAAGTGTGGCGACACCTGGGAGCCTGTGTCCCGAGGAAGTCTCGATTGGGGGTCTCGGTCCTGAGCAAACTGCGAGGATGGCTCGAGCGCTCGGTCGTCTGTGAGTAAGTCGCGGGGAAATCTCGAGTGGGATCTCCTCCCCACGGGTCCCCACCCCACGTTGGTAATCCGAGGCGGCTATCGGATGACTGGAAGCCTGAATCCCGAGGAAGTCTCGAGCGGGAGCCTCCCTCCTGCGCAACTTGATAGGGTTCCTTGGGGGCTCGTCTGTAAGCGAATCGCGGGGGAGTCTCGAGCGGGAGCGTCTCCCTTCGGGCTCCCCGCTTCATGTCATCAATCCGAGGCAGCCATCGAGTTTCCTGTAACAATACAGGTTTGGTGGCACCTGGGTGTCTGAATCTGGAGACTGTCTCGAGCGGGAGCCTCGTTCTTTTGTCGAGCGTCCTTCGTAATCCGAGGCGGCCATCGTCGATCAAGCTTGTAATCGTTGGCAGGGAACACCAGATAATACCAGGCAGGAAGAGAGCCTCCGTAGTCACAAGGACGACGATCAGGATTATTTCCAGATTGATTCGGAAGATTCCCATGTGGGGTCCTACCGTCGGAATGATTTCAAGGATCTCGGCATGCACACGCGACGACGAGCGCGTGTGGACTTTGTCTACTTTGTTGCAAGGCGCTCTTGGCAACGGCTGGTTTTGGTTAGCGAGTAATGTTCGACAAAGGTGAGGGGGAAGATCGATAAAAAACTCCCCGGGATGGGATGACTTTGTATGCAAAATGAAAGATGCGGCAACATGATCTGTGAATTGCAGTGCCCCTGGGGGGGGTCGATAACTCCGGGGCTGGGGTGGGTGGGTGGGTGGGTGGAGTCTGTATTCATTTGAGGAGGGGGAACTTTGAGGATGACGACTAAAACACATTCCGCGCCGCGGACGGTAGAAACACGGCCCAAATCCCACCAACCCTCTGGGCATAGGTGGTCTAGGGAGGTTCCTCTTCCAACCCCCTTCTTCCCCTTCGGGGAGGGGTTTACCCTCCCCCTTCCCCCTCCCCTGGACCTGGACGGGGCGCCCTGCGAGGTGTCAGAGGGTATTTTTTCGCCCAAGATGGCTCCAATAGGGCTCACAGAGCTCCTCCAAGATGGCTCAAGATATCCCAAGATGCCTCAAGTCGGCTCCCAAGATGCTCCAAGAAGCCCAAGAACGTTCCAGGACGGCTCCAAGACGCCTCCGAGACATCCAAGGATGTCTCCACGAAGCCAAAATCCATCCAACACCTAAGGAAACGCAATGTGTTTTGCTTTCTCGCCTTTTCGCTTCCGATGGTCATCCGAGGCCTCAAGTTGGCTCCAAGAGGGCCCAAATGGGCCCCAAAAGGGGCCCAAGAGAGCCCCACGACGGCCCCAAGAGTGCCCAAGAGCGCCCCAGGAGCGCCCCAAGGAGGGCCCAAGAGGCGATGTTAGGCACTAGAATGGCGAGGCTAATTGGAGTTCCCCTTTGTTTCCCTCTTTGCCCGCCGGCCAATTCGCTAGTTTGTGCCCCTTTCTAGCTTCTCGCTGGAGCGGAGTTCGCCGCCTCGCCGCTGACGAACAAAAAGTTTGTATCGATCTCCTCCAAGATGGCCCGAAGAGCGCTCCCAAGGCACCACTAGGTGAAAAGCAGCAGGATGTCTCACTCCTGGCTGCTTGGAAAATAAAAACAAGTCAGGTGCGTCGCCGCCTAGAGCGGTGGCGCCGGCGAAAGAAAAGCAGCGTGCGACCCAGGAGGCCGCCGGTCAGCGAATGGGGGCGCGGGGGCACTCCACGCCGGCAGTGTCGGTGCAGGTGCGCCCACACGGACCACCAAGACCACCACCAACCAGGGACCCAAAGGGGGGCGGGGGGGCGGAGGGGGCAGGGTCGTCGCGTGCTCGGCTCCCAAGGCACCCAAGAGCGCCTCAATAGGCGCCAAGGAGGCCCCAAGAGGCGCCCGAAGGGCCTCCAAGAGGCTCTCAAGAGACCCCCAAGACGCCTCAAGAGGACACCCGAGGCACCCAAGACGCTCAAAGAGGCCCCCTGGGCGCCTCGCCTGGGCATCGTCTCTGGATGGGCTGGTGGGGTTTGGCGAAGCGTCTAGAATTCCTATCATGTCAGGACGGGGAGAATGAGAGGGGAGGAGAAGTCGGGGAACTTCCTGAAGTCGGTGGAGGCTCCAGTGCCAACCATCGCCCTGACGTGCTGATATGCTGATGTCGGTGTCGCTGCGTCGTGGCGCGGACTGGTCTGTGGCCTCCATGTGTCAGGGATGTCCCGGCTGGTCAAAATGTCTAGAATGTTCGCTATATTGTGCATTATCCACTCAGACTGGTACTGCAACTTCATGATGTCCAAAGTCTTGGCCTCGCCTTTCAGTCGGAAGCAACCGAGCAGAAACTCTTCTAAGTTGATGTAGCCTTTCCGGTCGCGGTCCAGCATGAGGAAGAGCGTACGAACGTCCGTCACCTCCAGCTCCAGCGCGTGGAAGCTGCTCACCAAGCCTTTGTCCACGTTGAGCACGGCCTCGAGCATACCCTCGAAAGTCACAGTGCCGTGACCACCTGGGTCCAACTCCATGAACAGATCGTGCAACCGCTTGATGCTGCCGATCCTCTTCTCTGCCGCGGCCTGCTCCTGCGAAGCCTTGTCGTTGCGCGCCCAGTGGTTGGCGATCTCTACGAAAATCCCCAGACCCTTTGGAGCCATTGGCGTGTGAGATCCTGGCCCCTCCCCGGATCCCTTCCCCGAAAGGCTGTCGCTGCCGATCTGGAGGGGATAGGGGGTACCAGGTATGCGCCCCCGAGGATGTTCAACCTTGGTTCAAGACGCCCTCCAGCGTGCGTCCAAGAGGTCTCAAGACTGACCCGAAACGCATTGCTGATCCTGATTTTTGGTTTCTCAGGCTTTTCTGCATTTGGCTTCGGGGCCGCTGAGGACGACCCAAGAAAACCCGAGAACGCTCGAAGCGAACCCGAACCCCCCGGTCGACAGAGGGCCCCCAAAGAGCCCCAAGACGGCCCACGACGACTCCAAGACGGCCCACGAACGGGCCAAGATGGCCAAGCAGATCGCGCCAAGACGGCCCAAGGAAGCCAGCCGAAACCCCAGCGAGACTGCGAGAGGCCCCCGAGGCGACCCAACAGGGCCCCTTTTGGACGCGGATTTGAACTTTCCCTGTGGTTGCAGTTGCACAGCGCCAGGTTCCTTCAACGACAGCGCACGCGCCAACTGCGCGCGAAAGGCCCCCAAACAGAAGCACTGGGCAGGCGGATGTGGCGTGTTTTGAGCCCACGGATGCCAGTCACAACGTTGGCCGCACCTGCGTGAACTACAACGCGCGTTTTTATGTTGCAGCTCATTTTGAATCGAAACCGATACAACAAAACAGACACAATCAAATTGCAACTCGCGCTGGGACCGCGCTTCGACACGCATCGCGGCCGAACCAAAACGTTACGAGCGCAGAGCAGTACATCGCAGGCGAAACAATACGTTACCGCCCCGTCGCCAACGAAACTCAACAAACACGCCCGAGGAACCCCAACTGCGCACGACAAATCCCGTCAGCCCTTTCGGGCGTGAGTGGTTTAGGGAGTTTCCTCTTCCAACCCCCTTCTTCCCCTTCGGGGCAGGGTTTACCCCCCCCTCCTCCAAGAAACAGCAAGATGAAGACCATGTAGTAAGAGGTCTGGGACATGGTGTAATATGGTGTACCAATCAGGAGACTGACCGGGTCTTGTTTTAGGTGCGATGGTGAACTGCCGAATCCTCAGGCCGTCCAAGCAAATAGTGCGCTGGCACCTTGAGCCAGACGCCGGCGGTACTCGCCATGCTCGCTACACATATGCCCTCGGGGCCCCTATTTCAAAGTCGAGGGGGGCGACGAGCAGAGCGAGCGGCAAGATGAAACTACATTTTCTATATAGAAAAACGCGCAAAGGGCTCGTGTTGACACGAGCTGCGAAATGGTGGCGGGCACGATCAAGCATCGAGCCAGGATCGAGCCGCAAAGTAACGGCAGGAGCAGCCCTGCGGGGTCCAGCCATGAGGCAAGGACCCAAAGGCGCAAACAGCGCATAGAGGATAGTATTACAGACCGAATGCAAAACAGAAAATATACTCATCTCACCGCGTGTTTCCTTGCCAAATAGAAGCGCTCCGCCGGCTCGTCATGAACCAGGCCCAACCTTCGGGGTCGGAGCCCTGTAAGGAGTGTGACTCTTCAACTCGTGCTTAAAAGATTGCGTTCCCGCCATGACTTGCAACAGCAAGTCCCGTTCAACACTGCCTTTGGTATGTCCATCAGCAGTCGTATCCCGTGTGTCACACCATTGTATGCTGTGTACGATACGTATACCCATCATCTGTCTTATCCAGCTGATGTGTCCTAACAGTGTGCATTCTGTAGGCTTTTCGAGGTCCTTGCTGGACAAGGATTTGAATAACGACTCAGCATCGATTGTGAGGGTAACTCTGAGATGGAGACCGCCTATTTCCAGTATATCTTTGAGTTGTGTGGGTGTAGGCGATCCCGCCTTTAGCTCATGTAGGGTAACAGTGGTCGGGTAGCAATCCTCTAAGTTACGGGCTGCTGCTAGCGTCTCCGCAGAGTAGCTTGATCTTGCCTGCCGTCGATGTGACTTGCAGTAGGCGTCGATCGGGTGTGCGACAGACTGGCCATTGCGCGTGTCCACGCCGAAGCAAATTGGCACCTATGATGCCGTGCTCTTTCATCTCGTCCTCAGCATCCCCAGATGGACGTCGATAGCCGGAGTCGCTGTGTAGGTCCACTTCTCCAATGGGCTTCGTAGCGGGTTAAACGATCTTCAGAATTGGACTTTTCAATTTCCGCGTGATTGCATTTAGTCGCCGCGCCTGAAGATGGGTGGGTTCTTGGGCCCGCTGTAGAGAGACAACATATACCATCAACCAGACCTGGGTTATAAGGACATATGCTAATGCTCCACGGAGGCTGACGAACATGTCTGCTACAAGTTTCGTCGCTGTCTCCTCGGCCTCCGCGCCCGTATGGTTGGGGCGTTGTATGGGGCGAAGTTGTTTAATGTATTCGTCCTGATCCAAGGTGGCATCTCCATTCTCGTTCTTCGTGTATCTGACGGTGCAGTTGGTGTCACTATGTTTGCTAAACTTACATGCGCCGAACGTGTTTTCGGCGCATTTCACGTGGCGGTCGATAGTTTCCTCTCTTCCAATCATGCTGGTATCGTCCGTATGTTTGGCCGCCAGCAGCGTCTCCACTGTTTCGAATTGTTCGTCGTGGGGCGTGGCTTGCAAGCTGGAGCTAAGGATGAGGTTGCGAAGCTTCGCGGAGAAGGTTCGTGGGGCGTCCCTCGCCCCGGTGCCTGGCCCCAGGCGCTGCAAGCCGTGGCGACTTTCGTCGTGCTCCTCGAACCCAGGGGGAGTTCGCAACGCAGCTGCCGATCCAGGTGGTAGCGTAAAGCATGCGATGCGTTCCCGCTCTCCAGAGGCATCTGAAAGCTCGCGGTAGGTGAGACCCTTTAGGAATGCCTTGTCTATACCCATAGACGAAATTATCCAGTTAGGGATGCATGCGCCTTCGCTGGCCAGTAGACGCTGGCTTGACCTTCTGGCTGTTCCTGAGATGGTTTCTACAGAAGCATCCACGTTTATGAGTCCTCGCAAGACAAGTCTCAAACGGATTGTCCGGACCATCTCTCCTTGGTCACTCTTGACGGACTTCCGTTTATATACGTAGCGCGAGGTCATGACGCTTGAGGCGTCTGAAAGATGCCATCTTTAATAATTTGTTATCAAGCTAAATCTCAAACTCAGTGTAGAGTGCCTTGCCTACCTGCACTGGGTTGGCTACTATCTCAGCCTCCGTGAGCAAGTCGTCTTCCCGTGCCGCCACCGCCCGTTTAGCAGCTGCGGAGACGTATGTCCGCATTGTGGCAACGTTGTCGTTCTGCAATAGACTTTATTGCTGTTCTGCAGGGACAACCTTGGCCATGCCGACAATAGAGCACAGTCCAATATACTGGCCATGTTTGTCGCCATCAAGCGTGTAATCATCGTCGTAATGAGGGATCACGGAGACGTAGTAAAATCTGAATTGTGGTAATGCGCGTCTCCGCGATGACGAGTACCTGGGTCGTCGTTGGCCACTGTAATGAAGACCGTCTGGCCAGATATCATCATAATAGGTATTATGCATGGAGGTTCCAGTGTCGTAGTCTCGAGAAGCTCGCGCTCATCCTGAAGTTCTGCGTGCAAAGCTTCGAGGGCATATGTCTCAATATCGGCTTCCGATTCCTCTTGAATCGTGGGGGGGGGGGCTACAAACATTTCGCTCTCGGGCGTTGCCGCCGGCTGTGAGTCGCCGCGCGGTGCAGGGCCGTCTGCGTTCTCATCGGATTTCGAGGGGTCCTCATCGAAGTCAGCCAGAGGCGTAGATGATTTCAGACACTGCGTTGCCCTTGCATGTGTAGCCCCAGTGATCGTGTGTATGTCGATGGCTGTGCCGTTTGACTTATAGTAATGGAACCCTGGTGTAACATCGTTGCCATAGTAAACCAGGGTGCAGCTGTCAACGTCAATGACTGCTGGTTATCGGTGGGTACTCTTGGCAAGTCGGACTGTGGCCGGATTCTCGATCCTGTTCCTGAAGTAATTTCGGATCGAGTATTGCAAGGCCAAGTGCACACTGGGTGATAGTTTGCTGGATGCGGTCATTCGCACGTCTCCTTGCTTAGTTGGTAGGTATCCAAAGGTCACCGCAGGTCTCCCTGCAGGTAGACTTGCGATAAGGCAAGCGCCGTTCAAAGTGCTGCACTGTCCGAACCAAGTTCTCGGGCCATCAGCACTTCGATGGAAAGTGTGTGCCTTGGGTCTGGGTATTGAGCAGCGAATTCGCCATGACCGACCCGCGCTATGGCTTGACCCCTTGCAGGGTCGTTGCGGGCAACTGGGTATGGACCGTTCCGACCTCCTTGGGCGTCCTTCGTTATGGTGGGTCGGTATTAGTCTACTAGATCACCGTCGCGATAGAGGATCTGGCTTGGTGGCGTCGTCTAGCTGCGTAATGCTCGCTTAGCTGTCGCTGCTGCAGTCGCCTGCGTGATGGCCTCCAGGCTGATCTCGCGTATCCGCTGTTCTCGTGAGTGGTCTGACGTTTCCGTCTGTTGTTCGTGGTCCAAGGCAGGCAGGTTTGGTGGACGTGCCGGCTGACGTCCGTACAGCGCCTGATATGGAGATACTCCATTGTTGAATGTAAAGGCGTTGGTCACGAACATTGCTTCATGCAATAGACGGGGGACGTTCAGTGGTATGTTGTGTAATTGCAAATCTTCCTTCATCACGTGCGTGGTCTGCCGTGGGATTCCGTTTCTGGATTCTATGGTTATGTCGTGTTGTCCGCGTGATTGGACTTACGTATAATTCCATTGTGTTTAAGGATATCCCGACCCGTGCCGTTGTGGAGAGCCCCTTCTCCATCAGAGTATAGGACCTTTGCCGGGCCGTGGTGTAACCGCGCATGATGGCGCGCGCCCAGCACCGAGGTCATGGTTTTTGCCAGGGATTTCTTGATCGGCTGCAAAACGCATGCGTCGGTCTATTATGTGGAAAATCTGATAGAAGAACAGGTCGCGTTCACGCTTCTCATATAATTTCCCTGGCAAGGCCGCCGACTGCATGGCGGTGTTGCCTGGCTTCTCCCGTGCTCGGCGCTCCCGGCGCGAGTCGCGCGCGCCTTTGATGAGGTTCGGCCTGTCGCCGTCCAGACCAACCTTCGTCGAGATAAGCCTCGCCTTCGGCTTCCTGGCGCGGCGCCGCCTCAGGTGACGACGGCTGGGTCGAAACTTCGGAGGTTTTGCAGGCTGACCTGGACGCCGATGCGAGTCGAGTCAGGAAGTTTGGGAGCAAGCGCTCCCGCAGCGGCTCCCGCCGCGGGTGGAAGAGGCGGTGGCTCGCCGCGTTGTAAGCGGCCCCGCCGGCCGGTGACTCCTAGGTGGTCATCGGAGCTCCCCGCGCCTCCTCCTTCCATGCCAGCGTGCATCGCCCTCGTCATGTCGTGACTCCCAGCGCCCCGAGTGACATCGGCAGAAGGGCGTGGGCGATGTGTGAGATAATCTGTGTTTGCGCGAGCTGAAAGCCGTCTGCCTTGTCGTGGCGTGTCCAGCTGTATTTCGGGTTTTGCTGGAGGGGCTGGCGCTTCCGCGAGCGGTTGTGGGGCGCCAGCTGGAGGCTGATGCGGGTTAGGTGGCAATTTGTAAGGTTTTGCGAATCTGCACTTGGCAGGTATCTTCGTGCGACCTGCCTTATTTGAACCGTAGTTCTTCTTGCAGCTTTCGCGGTCCCAGTAGATAGGGTCCACGTCGTATCATCGACGCATGCGTGGGTCTCTGTATGGTCAGGCACATCCTTTCGGATGATATCTACGCAGGCAGGGCGCCCTAGGCCTCCTGGTTGTGGCCTGGTTACGGCGCCCGAGGGGCCGCGTGGTATGTCCTCGGCGTCGAGGTCAATGCCTGCACTGTTGACCGCAAATGCTGGGGTGCGTTTCCGCTTGTTGAATGGGTCGACCGGCGATTCCGGGAGCTTCTTCGCGATGCGGACAGCATCAACACATAGTGATTGAAATGTGTGCGCGTGTGTTGTTGTGCTGCAGCAAGCTCCTTACTGCGCGCCTGTGCGTGTTCATGGCGACCGCTGCACCTCGCATCTTGGAGGGGTGTCAGAAGATCATGATGGTTGCACATTACCTGTGTCGGCTTCCCGGTGAAGGTGCCATGTGAGTCCCCTAGCCCCGTGGCGCATGGATCTATTGAGTTTTTTTCGTGTCTATGTGCGTTCCTGCTGTGTGCGCCAGACAGATATCTCATCGATCCAAGTACCTGTGGGTTACTCGCGTATCCAGAATCTGTGCAAGTCGTCCTGAGTTTCGGCAGCGGTGCCGCAACATGTGATATGTGGCATATATATATATATATATATATTCATGATGGTGTTTCCAGCATTTGTTGTAATCAATCATAGCGTTGAAATATGATGGTAGTCCGGTGGTGCGGAAAACTGGTTGTAAGATAACCACTCCTACCTTACATGCGCGTAAGTAGTGTAGTGTAGACTGTTGTACCTTCCGGATTCTCAGATCAACGCCAGCTCTCTGATCGAGCTTACATCTGAAGGAAGACGGCGCTTGAAGGCAAGTTGTGACATGCCTCCGATTCCAACGCGGAGCTCCAACATATCTACACTGTTGTGTTGTCCATATCACGGCGTCGGAATGGTGTTGGAAATTTTGGTGCGCGTGTCCTCTAATAGCGTTTCCGCTGATCGTGCGAGGAGGGCTTGCTCCGTGTCGGAGTCTGAGTCCGAATCGTATGGTACGTCGTACAGCACTATGCACTACACTTGAGGCCTTTTAGGCTTTCGCCACAGTCATCGTCTGCTTCCTCAACTTTCCTTCGTATCCTTCTTGGTTTGATACCTGCCGCTTTGTCAGCTTTCTGCATTTCTCGTTGTTTAATGTGCGCCTCAGTCGGGTGAGCTGGTTCGGAGTTCGTCGACAAAAAACTCATGTGGCAACCCAGAGATCGGGAAGGGAGGAGAACAATCATCTTGGATGATTAGCGCTTCCTCGCACTTGGGGCTCGTCCGCGCGGTTTCCCCGCGCAGCGCGGGTTCTGGGTCTTCCCCGAAGAAGTCAGCGCGGATGTCCCTCATCCCTTTCGGGAGTTGTGAGCGCCAATCGTAGCCTCTAGGCGTATCCTTGACTTCATGTATTGCGCCATCTTCTTTTGTCAAGATCCCGTGCGACTCTTCTTGTGACTAGGTCCCAATCCTTCGGGCCCTTGTCGTCCAGCTTCACGATGCGAATCGCACTTCGGTCAACGCGAGTATGTGTGTTATATAGCGTGTCTGCTGTTTTCTTGTGGGATTGATTGGCAACTGTTTCCAGTGGGCGTTTGGACAGCGTCACTAGGACTTGCTGCCGATATTCGGCGCGCTGCTGGTCATGGCCGTGCCGGTCGAGTACGTGTTGGGTAGCATCCATGCACTTGCATCTCCACATCGTTGTAGGGATGCGACTGTGCGTATTCACAACCTGTAGGTATGTGCCGCAGGTTTTGTACCCGTTCGGTTGCACTTGAACCCGAAATGACTTAAACGCATGCGTGTCAGAGTGAGACGCAGGTCCTGAATATTTTTAACAGGCTGTAGATTCTACGTGTGCTGTGGAGGACCCATTGTGATAATGTGCATCCTCAACCCTTTCGCTTTAATTACAAGATTGCGTATCCACTCCCAATGTGCACCAATCCTTCTCCCCGGCGAGCGCATCTGCCATTCCGCTGGCGTGGAGATCCACGGCAGATTGTACTCGCCAGCCAACGCAGCTCCCACGTGCATGGAGCCATCGGCCGACGTAACTTCGTTATGTGTTATCCCATCGCGTGTGTATCCACGCTGGCGAAGTTGCGCGGAAGCAATTCGAACATCTTCTAGAATCAATCAGCGAATGGGCTACGGCTCACTTGTCCGGCAAGCCGAGGGCCGGACCTCTTCGGCGCGCCCCCTTCACGGGACACAGGGGCTAGCGTTTCCGCCATGTGCAGGAGTGACGGACGAGCTAGCGTTTCCGCCCTGCATCGGAAGGACGTCCAGCACAATCATGAAGCTGAAGGTGCTGTGGGGGTCCCTCCCGATGCTCTCCGTGGCTGCACTCGGGCTTCCGCTAGTCGAGTCATGGGCGTCCATGGCGTGGCGTGGAATTGGCCCCCGGTCTGCAAGCGCCCTGTCGACCTGCGCAATGAAGAGATTTTTCATCAGGCCAATCACCTCCAGGCGGTCGTGGTCAACCGCGTATGGGAGCGCTGCCATCCGTTGGGCGTGGTAGCCAGTCCAGGTGGCGCTTCGCGAAGCCGATCACCTGTTCCATCGCCCGTGCCTGCGCATTAGGGCTCTGGTCCGAGTCGCGCAGCACTCGCCCGGCTGCTGAGTCAGGGGGGCTGGGCCTCGTGAGCCTGCTTATCCTCGTCTGGGTTTCCTGGTCCGCCTGTGCCGGGCGATTCTCTGCTGCCGCCAGCTCCCTTCCGTGCGCTTCATAGTAGTGCGCTTCAAATTGCGTCTGCGTGCGCGCTTCCGTCGTCCGGTTGTGCAGGGCCACTGCGGCTCCGCGTGGCTCGAACCACTCTCTCGAGGGCGCATTCCTCATGGGGTTCCATCGTGGCCTGGAGGACGTGAGCCATCGGCGAAAGAGAAGCTCGGCATGCATTCAGACTGCGTCTCGCGTCAACGTATTTGCAAGCCGCCGTATGCGTGTTGTGACCAGTCGCCCTGCTGGCTGCTCTGCTGATGATGTTGAAGCAGTGTCTTCAGACGCGGAGGGTCCGCTGTAGTGCGCCCTCTCGGCGCCGTCAAACTCGGCGAAAGGAATGACTGGGTTGCCGCTAACGCTTTTCTCCAAGCGGAGAGTCTTGGCGCCCATGCCCACTTGAGCCTACATTGGGCCTCACTCGGGAATATGATCTTCTCTTTCCCGTGTTCGAGCGCCAAGATTACGCGTTTCCGCTGGGGACTTGTCAAGCCTAGGAGGGCTGGTATGTCAGCGCCGGTGCCCTCTGCGACATTGGCGGCGAAGGTGTCCATCTGCCTCTGGTGGAGGTAGTCGCAGGCAATGGCAAGTCTTGCCAGAGTCCTGCAGATGACCGAACCTGCACCAACTCCATTGACGCACGGCGTATCTGGCAAACAACGGCGTACTGATTGAAAGCCGTGCAGTTTGGCGTTATCCTCAAAGTGCGTGGTCGTATCCTGTCCGATGATGTCGATGTTCGAACCGGGACCTACCAAGAGAGACAATCGACCATCAGACAAATAGCTCTGAGCGGGCCCTTGATATAGACCTGACCTGATGTCCACGGGGCGTGCTCACGCGGATGTCTGTTGCGCCCGCGCAGCGTCTCTGCCGTTGTTCGATCGACCACTCTTCCGTGGAATCGCGCCCTGAGGTGCGCTCCCAGTCAGCCATCCATCCGTAGTGTTCGTCGTCGGTCACGGGCTCGAGCGACAAGATCGCGTGGATGTTGGGGCGCACCTGGCGTGCATGGTGGCCCGCGCCTGCGATGACTGGGGGTCCGCGGACGACCGGGGCACTTGGGTTCCCGCGCGTAGCGTCTCCGCCCTGTATCATCAATACCGTCTCCTGATGGGGGCTGGCCTGACTGCGAGAGCTGTGGGGACTCCACTCGGCGGGGCTGCCCCGATATCGGCGGTGGAGGCCTGCGCCGGCCTGTGCCGCTGATGGTGGCCTGTTGCTGCTGCTCGAGACTTTCCAGCAGCCGGCCACTGGCTGGGTCGTTCGGCCGTGCCGCAGGCTGCTCATATGGTGTGATGTCGTCGACTGGCGTTTCCGCCCGTGGCTGGGCAGTGTGCTGGTTAGCCTCTTGCAGCTGGCGCTGCGGCGCTGGTGGGTCTGCAGCGGAATAAGCTCAGCCGCAGTGGTCGGCTGTGACTCGTCACCGTGATGCCCAACATACGGATGTGACGACACAGTGATGCCAGACCCACGGCGTGCCGCGCAGGGGGCCTCGATGGCAGCGCCCCGCAGCTGGTTGCCTACACGGGCCCTGTTCACACCATTCCAGCATACGACATGGTACTGATGACCACGTTGGATGCGCCAAATGAGTCTCCCTCGGCTGGGAGGGCTGCAGGCCTGCCGCACATGGAGTAAACTCAATATTGTTGACTCAATATCTGAGATCGTCGGCATTTGCGCGTTTGGCCTGGGCCTCCCTTGCCTATCCAGCGTAGTATCAGTGACGAAGTATGCTGGGGGCGGTACGTTGGATGAAGGCGCGTCCGGACCATTCCCCGCGTTTCCGTCTGCAAGCCTTTCGGCCGCTGCACGTGTAGTATCACGTCGGGCGTCATTGCGTGCCCTTTGTGCAACAACGAGATTCTGTTGGGATGCCATGTTTGCCTGCGTAGCATGGCAGATCCCGCTGGTGCCCTCCGTGACCGGGCCTATTGGCCCTGGTATCGAGGCGCCAGTCTCCTGCGCCTGCGTTTCCGCATCCAATGGCGTGGGCTGATGGGCCACCTGCGGCCGCGACGCAGGGCCCATCGAGCGCATGCCAGACATCCCGTGGAACTCCTCCGTCGTCTCCCTCGTGTACCGATTGGGCGGATCGTTCCTTCCAGCACGCTCCTGCCCACTTATGTCGTGATAAAATTCAGGGCACATCGGCGCGTCCATGGGGGTTGTGCTGGGGCGCCAAGATGAGATCCTGCCAGGCTCGGGTGCATGCCAAACGCTGGCACGCATTGTGATCTGCCAGCCGACGTCGGGTCTGGACTCGGATCGGGTCTGGACTCGGATCGGGGCTCCAAGGGTATGGTGGTGCCTAATTCCCCAGTCACCTCTCGGGACGACCCGCGACATCTAATTCGGAAGGCCCGCATCTGCTCGATCCCCTGTTACTGCTGTTGCTGTATCAAGCGTTGCCGCTCGTAGTGGGGATCTTAGTGGGCCGATGCTTCTGGTCCGTATCCGAGTAGTGGTGCTGTAGATGCGGTATGTGGCGTTGCCGCTGGTGGAATCATTGGTGCCATCTCGTGGAGTGCCTTCCGTAGATCAGGGCGATTCCGCAATTAATTCAGCCGTTGCTGCAAGTCTTGAGTCGTTGCCCCCTGGTCTGGTGGCGGAGTGAAAAATGTGCCGAGGGTGTTCTGACTCGCCGGTGAGCACAAGTCCATGGGCTCGAACCGGGCCGATCCTGCAGCGCTGGCCGGCCTCCTGTGCATTCGCGCCTCTCGAAGGGTGGATGCTGTGCTGGGAGCCTGCAGCTACGGCCCACGGGTCGTGGTGGGCGAGCTGTGCTACGGCTGCCTTGATCGCTGCCGGCGTCATGCCCCCCCCCTGGCGGTGGCGCTGGCGTTGGGAAGTTCTGCCGCGACAGAGCGGGCGCTTTGGATTGCGATTCCGCGGGTTATTGACATGTGCGTTCCACTGGCACCATTCAACATATGCACCGCTGACCCCCCGAGATTCCCACATTGGATCATGGCCCCAAGCCGCTGGGTTTCTCGGGGCGATCCTCTCCCGCTGGCGAGGCGTAGCTGAAGGCCGGGTCAAAGTGCGGCGGGCCGTGCCACGCCTCATTCTTGTTTTGACCCGTCGAAGCAACAAGCTGCATGACATGCCGAAGCGAAATGTGGCCTCTCGCGTTCCCATCTGTGAGGAGTGCGTCATTGGCCGAACGGCGCACCTTGACCTTATCAAGCAGGAGGAAAAGGTAATGAGGACAATCTAGCGGTCTCTTCGTTCTTTCGAAATCCACTCCGAATGCGGTGGTCGCCTGGCAAGTAACGACGCCCACGTGTGAACTGGCGTCCCTGCTCTCGTTTGCCTCGGTGGTTCCGCCGTGGATTGGCCTCCGTGCGGCAGGCGGGGCCCTGCTCCATGATTGACGGGATGTGAGTCATCTCTGTGTCGTGGACCTGTCGTGGGGGCATTCTAGACCAGCGATGCCTGGCCTGGAGTGGCCATTGGTAGCTCGTCTGTATATGCCTTTGTCCACTGGGGGGACTGCTGAATCATCGTGTTCTGCACCATTTGTCGCGTTTCCGCGGTGGTGTTCCTTGATCTCCAAGCGATTTTGCTGTTTGCCTGTGTGGTCCACCGCCTCCGCCATCATCGTCGCCGCGCCCATGCTTGCCTCGTCGGGGCCCGTGTGCTTCGTGGCCGTGGGGTGGCCCTTCCCGCCGCGCTGATGTGCGAACATGTCAGCGAAAGAAGCCCAACCATCAACAATGTTGAAAGTCGGGCGCTCACGGAGAAACCGCTCGCTGTGTCGGTCCTTGCCATCAGCCGGACGGAATGACATATTGCGAAATATGCCAGAAAGCCCGAGGCTCATGAGTGCGAGGTCCTCGCGACCAGAGAGGGCCCGCTTGTCGGTCGCCGCGAACGGGCCTCCCTCCCTGATGAGTCGCATGGGCAACTTCTCACGGAAGAGGCTGCGCGCGCGTTGCAGGGTTCTCCCTGCGTCGTTAATGCTAAGCCGTGCGCACTTGAAATCGCGCATGGCAACGTGGTGCCCGTCAGCATCCACAAGCAGATCATCATCGTCGTCGTCCATCGCGTAGTACTCGACTGACCCCTTACCGCCGCCTCTCTTTTCCGCCTTTCCGCCTTTGCCTTCTCAGTGTCTAAAGGGTTGGCGGTGCGGCTGGCGGCGCGGCGGCGGTCTCGCCCACCTGCTCCAGGGTGTTTCATTGGATGAGGCGGCGCCTGTGGGGGTGGCGGCTTCGGTTCGCCGCCAGCGGCAGAGGAATAAACTCCAGTCCCAGCGTTGGGGCGTTGAGGCCCCTTGCTGTTGGCGACTCGCAGGGGCGGCGTCCAGCCCCCGCGGTGTGCATCGTGATCTTGAGACTGTTGGGGCTGAAGGTCCACCGCTTCCCGTGGCAACGGGGCTGACTTGCCGCTGGACATGGCGGCGGCTGTTGCCACCTTCGGCCCCCTTGAACGCTTCCGCGGTTTGACGGGCGGCGCCTGCGATGTCGGTTTCAACTCGGGCTTCTCCGAACCGTCGGATTTGGCTCGGTTCTTCGCAGTCGGTAGCAGGATTTCTCCAGGCCGAGTAATCTCCTTACTGCGAGGACCTGTGGGCGGAGTGGCAGAGTCCGACTCGCGCGCGTCAGTCAGGTCTGTGTGCTTGGAAGAGGGGGCAAGGCATGTGTCCGCTGGTTCCCCGGCGCCTTTAGGGCGATTCTTCTTCCCGTTCTGCTGACTGGCCTGCTTCCTCTCCTGGCTGACCTTCCGCTGGGTCGAGCTGGTCGGGCTCGGGGGCAGTGCCGGCGCAATCTCCGATGAGGCGGCCGCGCCTGCACTTGTAGCGTTTCCACTCTGGTCGGCATCGATCAGCGGTGCCCTCTTCGATTTCTCCAGCGTGTCCGCCGCCCCCATCCAGCGTGTCCGCCTTCCTCCTCGTCGCTCTCGTGATATTGGAGGTTGTGCCTCTTCAGCTCGTGGTGCTCGGAGAGGTCAGCCCAGCGCCGGGCGATGTCGGTGTGTTCCGTCTCGCTGCAGGGGGCGCGGTGGGCCTCCGAGGGCGCGGGCCGCGGTGCTCCTGCCACCTAGAGCATGCGCAAATGCGGTAGTTGCTCCGAGGATTGACGCGTTCCCGCCTGGTCGCTCGCTCTCCTTCGCCTTGGCGGGTGCGCGTCCCCGAGGAGAAAAGCATGGTTCTGCCCGCCTCATCCCTCTCGCAGTGTTGGACGGCGCGCCAGTGGCGGATCAGATTGTCGGTCCAGCCTTGGCCGCGCCAGTGGCCCACGTCCTCGCGGGAGACGCGGGCGCGGGGGCCGCCCCCATCGGGCGGCGCCCCCGCGGGGCCGCGCGAACGGCGTCCCCGCGGGGCCACGCGAGCGGCCCCGTGGGGCGCGATGCGTCATATAGGCGTTGGAGGTGGTCATGCCACGCCCAATGCCCATGAAATCTTCGGGCGCAATCGTAGTCGCAGGCCCAGTTCTCTGCCTCGGCGTGTTTTCGCGCAGTGCGTGTGTTCCCGTCGGCGTGGTTGTCGCTGCCGAGGGCGTCTGCTCGTGCGTTTTTGCAATGTTTTGTAAGCCAGCTTTCTGTGGTTCGGCCGGGGTGGCAGGGGCCGTCTCAGCTTCGGAGATGCCCCCGTCGTGCGCAGTGGCGTCTCCGCCAAAGTCGGAGTGCCTGTCGTCGAACGCGCGGGCCATCGCCTCTCGGTGGACTTGGACGTATGTAAGAATTCTACATGGTTAAAAGTGGATCGAGTTCGGGCCAATCGACGTACTCCACGTCCTCGATTGTCCCTTGAGCCGTCAAAGGGCCGCATTGCCACCCCTCCCTTGTCCTTTTCGAATCGCACTGGCTCTGCAAATGCTTGTCGCTACCGCATCGGTTGCACAGCATCCTCTTCCCGTTTCGGTCCATGGGGTTGAGTTTCCTGGCTTCCCCCTTTCCCGTGGAATGGCGTCTGCTTCGACCCTTGGCCGGTGAGATTTCTTCAAACTCAGCTTCGGAAAATGTGGCCACAAATGTGGCGAAGCCCTTTCCGTGTAACCGCCGATTGCGACGACCACCCTTTCCACGACCCTTCCCCAGTCGGTGAAATACTCTCCGCAATGCCCTGCGAACGCGCCGTGTGGGCTTCTTGATGAAGCGCCTCGCGCGGCGTTCTGCGTGTTGGTAGCCTAGGACAAAATATTCAACGGTTTCCGCGTCGCCAGGACCGGGGGGCAAATCTGACATTTCAATCCGTTCGGTTCCGTCGGGTAGTAACGTGTCAGGATCTGTCCCAGAGTCGACGGGCGAATCTGCATTGGAGGTTTGGCCCCGTAGGGCAGTCTGGCTCTCAGGAGCCGTGTGCAATTGGGCTGTCCCCAGCCCTATTGTGCTGATGACGTTGGGTAGCTTCTGTCAGTTCCAGGACCTTGAGGGGCCGTCGAAAGTAGTGCAGTGGCCTCCTCTGAATTGTTGCGGTCGTCAACACATACGTTACTGGGCGCGGCCGCGTCTCCGCCGGCGTTTGTCATGTGTGTATTCGCGTTTCCGCGCCCTGTGTTTCGCAGCAGCACGCTTCCGATGTTGCCAGGAGCAGGTTCCGCCAGATGCTCAAGGCTGCGCACTAATAATTCATCGTGTTGTTGTTGGGTGCGTGGCATCTGGCCGTTGAAAAGCTGAAGCATATGTGCAGCCCTGTCGGGGCCGAACATTAGGGCTCTAAAGAACACCGTTGTGAGCAACTGGAAATTCGGGATAGCAAGGCCGACTGAATCAGCCCCGAGACGGGCCATCTCGAACTTGGTGGGGATAGAATCCGTTCTCTCGCCAGGCTCGGGCCTGAACTCTATGAGCGCCGTTCCTGAGGTGAGCTGTCGCTCATCTTCGAAGTTTTCGAAATTGGCGCTCAAAAGAAAAATGTGTACATGACGGGGTCGGTGTGGACGCTTTGTGCCGTCGCGCCGTAGTGTATAATTTGGAGAGGGATTCGCATCGCAATAGTGCGTGCTACCCCACGCAGACCACGTTGCAGGCATGCAGCTTGTTGTTGTGGGGTCATGCGGGCGCTCGTGACATTCAGCCACGCATGTACTTCACGAGTTAACTCGAGGAGGGATACGTTTCCTGAGTGGTCCCAGTATGGGCCACTTGTCGCATTATCGCCTCCATCGTTGTGGTTACCACGTTGTATATATCCGATAGCACACCCGACCGAATGTTGAACATACGCACCCTATACGACCACCCTTCGGGTGATAAGGAGGTTGTGGGGTGGGTGGGTGGGGACCAGCATTTGCCTTCGATCTCAGCATCGATCTCACTATCGATCTCACTCAACGGGACACCACGGGACTCCTGTCGATGTCACTATCGATCTCACTATCGATCCCACTTTTTGGGACACCACGGGACACCACGGGGCACCATATCGATCTCAGTATCGATCTCACCATCGATCTCGGTATCGATCGCACTCAACAGGACACCACGGGACACCACGGGACACCACATCCATCTCACTACCGATCTCACGATCGATCTCCTTTTTTGGAACATCGCGGGTCACCACGGGACACCTCGGGGCACCACATCGATCTCAGTATCGATCTCACCCAACGGGACACCATGGGAAACCACGGCACACCACGGGACACCACGGGACACCGCGGGACACCGCGAGCCACCGCCGGACGGACGGACGGAAGGGCGGGCGGAGATGAATCATTTCTCTTGAGTTCGACCTAGCATCGGCGGACACCACGGGACACCACGGGACACCGCGGGACACCGCGAGCCACCGCCAGGCGGGCGGAGGAGAATCATTTGTCTTGACTTCGTCCTAGCAGCGGCGGACACCCCGGGACACCACGGGACACTACGGGGCACCGCGGGACACCGCGGGCCACCGCCGGACGGGCGGGAGGGGGATAATCATTTGTCTTGACTTCACCCTAGCAACGGCGGGTTCAGTCCCCCAGGCGCGCCCACGCAGCTTCGCCTCGCCCGCACGCGCGACACGAACGAAACGAAACGATTTCCCGGTTGGGGGTCTCCGTTCCATTGCGATCTCACCCCCCGACCTCCGACTTTTAAAACGAATTCCAAGAGACGTCTTGGACGTCGTTGTTGGTGGTCTTCGGTGTCTATCGCCGTTAGCTGGCGGATTGGCTGTGGAGGTGTCCCCATGTTGGTTCAAGAGTATGGGGTTCGCGTGCCCGCGTGGTGAAGTTGTTCCGCGTACTTGTTTCCAAGTTCGTCGTACGTTGGGGCAAACAAGCGTATAGTCGGGGCGTATACGCTCCTCGGAGTGGTCAGGCGGATGTCGCCCATAGTGGATACAGCGTGTCCACTAAGGGCGTTCCCGCCTGCTTGCCAATAGTCACGCTCTGACGTCGCACTGGCGTCGGCGGCATATCAAACCGTGCCGTGGATAAAAACTGTGATAGACAGAGCTGACCACAACTCAATGGGGCCATCTCCGCTACCAAGTAAAACACAACATGAGGACCATGTAGTCAGAGGTTTGGGATGTGGTGTAAGATGGTGTACCATCAGAAAGCTGTTCGGGTCTTGTTTTAGGTACGATGGTGATCTGCCGAATCCTCAAGCAGTCCAAGCCAAAAGAGCGCTGGCACCTTGAGCCAGACGACGGCGGCACGCTCGCTATGCTCGCTATACATATGCCCCTCTGGACCCCTATTTCAGAATCCCCCCCTCCCCTACACTTGGATGGGGGGGTTTCGCGGGTCGATGGAGCATCCAAGATGGCCTCGGCGAGAAGGCCAACATCATTGACTTTACTACGATTTTGGATGAATTTTGGCTTCCTGGGGAAATGCGTACCCTTCCTTCTTTGATCGATCACCCCCAAGATGCCCCCCGAAGCTTCCGAGAGTTATTTCCCCAAAAAGACCCCAAGAGGCGCCCAGGAGTCCCCAAGAGGCACCCAAATGTCTCCAAAATGCCCCCAAGAGGCTCCCAAGAGGCCCCCAATAGGCCCCCGAGAGGCTCCCCCGAGGCACCCAAGACGCTTCAAGAGGCCCCCGAGGCCGCCAAGAGGCCCCCCAAGACGCCCCAACATGCTTACTAGAAGCTCTCAAGAGATATCCGAAAAGACTCCGAGAAGCATCCAACAGGCCTCTGGCCTTCCTCTTCGCCCTCCTCCTCCTCCTCCTTCTCCTGCTCCTCCTCCCCCTCCTTGTTTTCATCCACCTAGTCCTCCTCCTCTCTCCTCCCTCCTCCAGAGTACCCCCTCTCCTCCTTCTCCTCCTCCTCTGGTCTCTCCTCTATCCTCCCCCTCTTGGGGTGCGACGGCTTCCCAGCCTTTATTCCACTGCATGCTCACCCACATCCCTGGTCAGGGCAACTCGCCTGGGCATCGTTTCTGGATGAGCGTCTCGGATTTAGGCTTGGTGGTGCCAAAACCCAAGATGCGGCCGTCGCACCGAAGATGGCGAAGAGGACGAAGAACAGGAAGACGAACCGGAAGTGTACAGCCAGGGGCGACAGCGTCGCGAACAGAACCCCCCAGTTAATGCCTCCAGACATTGCCTGGAACAGCGAGAGCGCTGCGCACTCGAGGGTGCCAAAGTAGGATCGCAGCTCTGCGCTGGACTCGTCGTCCCACGAATCGTTCTCTTTGAGACTGTCGATCACGCCCTGGGTCAGGATTATCCCGAACACGTAGAACATGCCCATGAGAACAATGGAGGCCCAGAGTAATGGCCGCAAGGAGAACATGATTGAACGGATCATGATCCGCAACTGCATGAAGAATTTCAGCTGCCTGACCGAACGCAGGAACCGAACGACCCGGAGGACGCGGAATATGCGCAGCCCCGAAACCTGCGACCACAGCGACGGCTCCGCCGTTTTCTGGGACACACTCACAAAAAAGTCCAGGAGCATCGACACCACGACGAAAATGTCGAAGTAGTTCCACGAGGCCTCGCTTCCTGACCAGAAGGACCAGCCCATGGCGTAGATCTTCACGGCCAGCTCCAAAGCAAATGCGGTGCAGAAAAAGGCCTCAATCTCCAGTGTCCTCTCTAACTGCTGTCGAGTGCGTGCCTCGTGCTCTACCTGGTAGCCTAGAAAGATCGAGTTGGCCACGATCAGCACCATCACGCACACCTCGTAGGTGCTGCTGCTGACGAGCTCCTTCGCCCGCAACTGCGCAAGAGACGGTCCCCAGTCAAACTGGGAGAGCCACCTCCGGACTGGCCACGGCACCTGCGACGCGATGTACATGCTCGAACGCGCCGCCCCGAAGGAGTTCTGACTTGGAGATGCTGAGCGCCAAAACGGCCTCAGGTCGTAGGAGCGGACCGCGTCGTGCTGGATCATGTCCATGGCGCTGGTCGCGCCCGACTGCGAGGCCGCCGGATCCTTCGACGCGTTGCTGCCGCCGAAGACGGACCGCGCGTGGGACCACATGCTCGAGAACGAGCCCCGACGCCGTGTCAGGGTCGCCTGCAGCCTGCTGGACCCCGAGGTGCGGCCGGGCGCCCCGGCACCGGAGCGGCGCGGCGCGACAGCGGGCGACGGCCCCGCCGACTCGCTGCTGCTGGTGTGTCCCATGGACTTCCTCCACTGCCGGCCGCGCCCCGACTCATGAGGGCTGTCCTCTTGGACCGTCGAGGTGGTGTCTGGGATGCCGTCGGGGTCCTCCGCCGCCGGTGACAACGTCCTGCTCCACGGCGACGGCCCCGGGTTCCCGCCGTGTACTGGCGTGGCCTCCGTCGGCAGCCAGAGCTGCTGGGCGGAGGCCGACGCGGAGCCGCTGCCGCTGCCGGCAGAATACGCTGCCGCTGACGCAGAGCCGCTGCCGCTGCCGCGGAGCCGTTGATCCGCTGGCGCAGAGCCGCTGCCGCTGCCGCTCTGGACCACCCCCTGGGGGAAGCAGCCCGCAGGCAGCGTCAGCTGCGGCCGCTCTCTGGTCTCCTCCTGCTTTGGACGCCCGAAATGGGTATAAGGGAAAAGTGGGCACGATGCCCAAAAGCCAAGGTTGTCCAAAACCGACAGCGGCCGCTGCTGGGCAGGCGACCTTTTCTCTCAAATGGACAACGTCCGCGGCGACGCCGACAGCGAACCCATTTCAATAGAGGCCTCCTAGATGGGGTCGGAGGATCTCGCCGCATCGCCGATACATCGGCGATGCACTGGAGACGTCGGTGATACATCGGCGACGTCGGTGTGGAGAAAACTGGGCCCCACATTAAGCTGTATCGCCGATGCTTCGCCGATGCATCGGCCATGCGGCACGATTCTCGTACCCCATCTACTCTGGCCCCGTCAAGGAGGCATACATTCCAAACGGAACAGATCTGCTGTCGGTCTTCGTATCCATCCTTTGCGTATCCGTTTCGATCGTCTCGTCGTCGTCGTCGCCGTCGTCGTCGCCGTCGTAGTCGTCGCCGTCGTCGTCGCCGTCGTCGTCGTCGTCGTCGCCGTCGTCGCCGTCGTCGTCGTCGTCGTCGTCGTCGTCGTCGTCGTCGTCGTCGTCGTCGTCGTCGTTGTCGGCGTCGGCGTCGGCGTCGCCGTCGTCGTCGTCGCCGTCGTCGTCGTCGTCGTCGTCGCCGTCGTCGTCGCCGTCGTCGTCGCCGCCGTCGTCGTCGCCGTGGCCGTCGCCGTCGCCGTCGTCGTCGCCGTCGTCGTCGCGCTCCTCCGCCAACGGCGCTGGCGGCTGCGCCGCGGTGCGCTCCGCCGCCGGGGCGGGCGGCCGCCCGTGCGGGCCCGCGCCCGCCCCGCTCGCGCGGAGCTCCGCGAGCGCCGCCCGCGCGCGGCGCTGCCCGAGCTCCAGCTGGCCTGCCCCCGGAGGGCCCAGCGAGGGCCAAGGAGGGGCCCTGCACCTCCTCCTCCTCCTCCTCCTCCTTCTCCTCCTCCTCCTCCTCCTCCTCACGCACCCCGTGGCGTACCCCGGAGGTCCTGGCGACTCCATTTTCCAAGCCGGGCGCTTTCGCCCAGGCTCGGGCTCCGGGATCCTCAGAGATCGATGCGGCCCGAAAAATGCCGCAGAAAGATGGGCCCGGGGCTCCGGGCGTGGTTTTTCGTTTTGTTTTTTTTGCAACGTCGGATCTGAGGTCGTAGCGTGCTGGCACGGAGCTCAACACGCAGGCCGAAAGCGCTAGTTTGGAGCGTCGCGCTCGCCCAAAACCTGGGCCAGCACGTGCCCAGTCGGCACGGACGTCTTGAGCACGGCACGTGCTGCGCCTCACAGCGGGCGTATCGCGGCAGCTGAGCTGGGGGCCCAGCAGGGGCGAAAGAGGGGCCCTGCATGGGCCCCTCTCCCCCAAGGGGGGGCGGGGGGGCTCAGAGGTTCGAGCTTCGGGGTCGGCTCCTTGAAAATGTTCGATCGGTCTGGGGCGCACTCGTGGCCACGGCTGAGTTCGCCCGGAAGTCCTGGGGAGGACGCACCCTGGGAGAGGTCCAAGGATTTTTGTTGGCACCTGATCGGCCCGCATCCCCGATGTCGGGCCTGATGCGATCCGACTGGGGCCCGACACAGGCCCCCTCACGCTGCCAGGACGGACCCGGTGCGGGCCCATCATCTGTCGGAGGCCTATCGCGTAGGAGAATCCAGATCGTAGCCGATCGTGCACAGCGTGGCCCAGGTAGAAGCCTCAGCCCTGCACTGCGCTGTGCGACCTGTGCCCAAACGAACAGACGACCACATGTCATAGCACGGATACGCCGGCACACTCAAACCATTATGTAAGGCGTGGATGCGGTCAGGAACTTTTGCTCAGCGTGACGCTGCGCCGGTCCCAGCGGCACGCCTTGCCATGCGAGCTGATAGCGTGTCGCTCCGCTCCGCGGGGCGGGAAGTTAGACACGCTAACCCAAAGTTCCCGAAGGCCAGTACACCGAAAAATGAAAAGGCCCTGGGACACACAAAGAAATAGACACGAACAACAGGATTCCCCATATTTTCCAATATTTTCTGGGTGTTTGTCTTCCCCCCCCCACTTCCCATCTTTTCCGATATTTTCAAGGGAAGCGACGGTTCATTGCGTCTGTGTGGTATTTTTCCCTCCTGAGAAAAACACTCCGCCTGCACAGTGGCGCGAGCTGGTCGGGGGCAGGACCCCGGCGGGGCCCGACCTCTCGACCACGCGTGGGCCCCGCGCGGGCCAGGGCCTCCGCGGATGGCCACGTGGCCCAGGTGCTGCGCCCTGCCCGAGCCCTCCCCTGACATCCGCATTTTTTTTTTTTTTTTTTTTTTTTTTTTTTTTTTTTTTTTTTTTTTTTGTTTTTTTTGTTTTGTTTTGTTGTTGTTGCTGTTCATACATTAATTATTACCTAACAGCGAAGACTGATGGGTTTCTAGTGGGGTCAAAAGAAAAGAGCATCTTGACGCCCCAGAGGGGATCTGGGCGGGACACGGACAGGGGATCCGGCAGAATCCGGCAGCCCCAGGAATCCTTGGGAATCCCTTCCCAGAAACACCATTCCCATGCCACATTTTGAATGCCCGGAGGCAACTGATGCCACTTCGCGTTCTTCGTGCTCCCAGAACACCATTCCCAGGCCACATTTTGAATGCCCGGAGCCAACTGTAGGCCACTTCGTGTTCTTCGTGTTCCCAGAGCGCCATTCCCAGGCCACATTTTGAATGCTCGGAGCCAACTGTAGGCCACTTCGTGTTCTCCGTCTTCCCAGAAAACCATTCCCAGGCCACATTTTGAATGCCCGGAGCCATCTGTAGGCCACTTCGTGTTCTTCGTGTTCCCAGAACACCATTCCCAGGCCACATTTTGCATGCCCGGAGCCAACTGTGGGCCACTTTGTGATCTTCGTGCTCCTAGAACACAAGTCCTGTGCCATAGTTTGAATGCCCGAGCTGAGGCAGGCTGAGGCCGAGGCGGGCTGAGGCCGAGGCAGGCTGAGGCTGAGGCCGAGGCACGCCGAGGCAGGCTGAGGCTGAGGCTGATGCAGGCTGAGGCTGAGGGAGGCTGAGACTGAGGCTGACGCAGGCTGAGGCCGAGGCAGGCTGAGGCTGAGGCTGAGGCAGGCTGAGGCTGAGGCAGGCTGAGACTGAGGCTGAGGCAGGCTGAGGCTGAGGCTGAGGCTGATGCAGGCTGAGGCTGAGGCAGGCTGAGAGGCTGAGGCAGGCTGAGGCTGAGGCTGAGGCTGAGGCTGAGGCTGAGGCTGAGGCTGAGGCTGAGGCTGAGGCAGGCTGAGGCTGAGGCTGAGGCTGTGAGGCTGAGGCTGAGGCTGAGGCTGAGGCTGAGGCTGAGGCTGATGGCTGAGGCAGGCTGAGGCTGAGGCTGAGGCTGATGCAGGCTGAGGCTGAGGCCTGAGGCTGAGGCCGAGGCTGAAGGCAGCTGAGGCTGAGGCTGAAGCAGGCTGAGGCTGAGGCCAGGCTGAGGCTGAGGCTGAGGCAGGCTGAGGCTGAGGCAGGCTGAGGCTGAGGCCGAGGCAGGCTCAGGCCGAGACAGGCTGAGGCTGAGACTGAGGCTGAGGCTGAGGATGAAGCCGAGGCAGGCCGAAGCTGAGACAAGGTGAGGCTGAATGGGGGGGGGGGGGAAGAAGGGGGGGGGAGGGGAGGCTGAGGCAGGCTGAGGCCGAGGCAGGCTGAGGCCGAGGCAGGCTGAGGCTGAGGCTGAGGCAAGCCGAGGCAGGCTGAGGCTGAGGCTGAGGCTGAGGCTGAGGCTGAGGCTGAGGCTGAGGCTGAGGCTGAGGCTGAGGCTGAGGCTGAGGCTGAGGCTGAGGCTGAGGCGAGGCTGAGGCTGAGGCTGAGGCAGGCTGAGGCTGAGGCTGAGGCAGGCTGAGGCTGAGGCTGAGGCAAGAGAGGCAGCTGAGGCTGAGGCTGAGGCAATGAGGCAAGGCTGAGGCCGTAGGAATCCATAGGAATCCTTAGGAATCCCCCGTTTCCTATGAATCCGTAGGCATCCTTAGGAATCCGTAGGCATAGTTAAGCATCCTCAGGAATCCTTAGGAATCCTTAGGATTCCATAGGAATCCTATGGATTCCTAAGGATGCCTTAGGAATCCCTAGGGATCCTTAGGATTCCATTGGATCCTAAGGCCGTTGCCACTGCGACTGTCATTGCGAGTGCGACTGCGACTGCGAGAACAGCAGAATTCTACAACTGGATTCTCACCTGAATCTGAAGGGGAATGCTTGCAGA